AGAACGGACGGGCGCGCCCTCCGTAGACACACTTAGGCCACGAAACGCCTCGCTGCTTTCGCAATGGCTCGCTTCCGGGCCGCGGGGGCGCGCAGGGACCGGGCATGAGGCAATCGCCTCGCCCCCACGGAGCAGCACGCTGAGGACATGCCCCATCAGAAATGAGCGCGCGGTGTGCTGCGACGCCCCCGCCTTTGCAGCCACTGAGCCGCGCGGCCTGCACTGGGTCATTTGCCAATTTGAAGCCCACGCCGGTTAAGGCCGCACCAAAGAGTTCTGCACCGGGCTTCGGCCCATGTTGCTCACTTTGCGAGTGTTGTTCGGAGTCGCTAGTCACAATGGCGGTGCGACAAACTATTGAGGTGGTGGATCCTCCACACGTATTGCGGGCTAGAGCGTTTGGCTCGCAAGGCGGGGTAATGAAAACAAGGAAAAGAAACGAGGGGAAAAACCGGACCTCGGTAAGTGGTACGGGAAAGATGACACTTGAGGTGTTCTTGCCAAACAGTAGGGCGGCGGCGAGCCATATCGACGCCGTTAACGGGAAAGCGGGAAACCCAAAATGCTGCCATCTGCTCAAAAAAAGGGAAAGCCGCATTGGGTAGCCCATTCTTTTTTGGTTTGATGTTTATAAGAAAAAAAATAGGGCAAAAAAATACTTCATTTTCTTGTTTTCCACTACCGCCTCTTTCTGTGTAAGCGCGCGAGCGCATGCGCATATTCGCGCAGTGCCCCTTTTCGGTGGTTTCAAGGCGACTTAGCCACGCCTTCCGCACGAGGCCGTGGCAGGTGCCATGCAGAATGAACCTCAGAACACATAAGCCGCCTAGCAGCAAAGTGTATAACAAAAGAGAGGGGGAGTGATATAGAAACAAATAAAACAAAACAATGCGCAAAATGCGCCTCTACAGCTGCTTCCCCCACCCCCTCTTGAGGAAATAGCAAAACCTTCCGTGACGTACAAACTTAGTTTATTTAAATGTCGTTCGCAGGTTTACCCATCTGCCTCAGACGCGCAGCGCATTATGTAAAGTTCCCGAGTGTGTGTGTATACACGCCCGCTTGCTGCGGCAGGTGCTACGTCGCACACCTGCAGCAGATACAGAATAAAACGACAAGCGTGGTAACGATCATCCCCGCTGCCACCACAACTCCGACAAGAATCGCGCCCTTGCAGGCGCCTGTGCACGTGTTGAACGCCTTCCTCTTGTCCGGGGCGTGGACACTTACGAGGACTGCCTTGCCCGGCCCAGGATACGGCACCAGCGTCGTGTGGAAGTCCGCTCGAGTGATCATCGAGTTCACTTCCTCAGGGCCCCAAATGTTTTGCAGCTCCGGGGTGAGGGCGTCGGGAAGCAAAGTCTGCGTCACGGTGACGTGAACCTCCAGATTTTTATCGGCGGCGAGGGAGTTGGTGACGACAGTGGTATTGAAGGCAAACTTGCGCATCAATTTTGTGTTAATATCTGACACGATGGCCGCTTCAAGCGTCATGCCCTTTTTCCTTCACCACCGGACCCCAGGCAGAGCCGTTGAACACAATGATATGCTTTGACGTTGCCTCCAGTGCGGTGGCAGGGAGTGCGACGACCAACACCAGCAGAGCGGCGAGCAGCAGCGGCACCGTTTTTTCCCGCATCATCTTTTCGCCGAGCGACGTTAGAGTACTGTAACTGCAAACTGGCCGTTGTGAGAAACAGCGGAAAAAAAAGGGGAAAAATAAGGACAACAAATAAAAATGAAGCAATCAAATATGCAAGGTACGGGCAGCCGGCGGCGGTTAAGCAGCTGCGTTTTGCGCGTCTGTGCACCACGCGTGAAGCCGCAAGGGTGGCCATCGCCCACATCGACACACCCAAAGAGTACAGCTGGAGGAAGAGTGGGAAAATAGAAGTAACTTGTTTTATTATTAGTTTCTGAGCGTGAGACAATGATTAACACAAACAAACAAAAATAAACTGTAGGAGGTAACGGCGCTTACAGGAGTCAGCATAAATAAAACGCAGAAAAAAACACAGCATATAGTTGGCGCACCTCTCTAGTCGTTGTTTTTGCCTTCTTCTCATCGTCCTAGTCGTTGGCGTCGCAGGTTGGGTCCGCGCTGTCGGCAAACAGCGGCGAAGGGGCAAGGGATAGATTGACCCACCACTACATCGCACACACACACACAAACTCCAACAACCCGGGTATGCCTGTATGTACGAATGGGCAGTTACTTGCAAATTGGCTCACACGCAGAAAAAAAAAAAACACAGAGGGTGGAAGATAGGCACACCGTCAAAGCGAGAGATCATAGATAGTCTCAAAATCTGTAACTTTGTATGCAGAGAGGGAAATATAGATGGGTATGCGTGTATATATATATATAAGTGTGCTCCCTGGCCCCCTCAAAGAACCATGGGGTAATGGAAGGAAAAAAAGCGCCCCTCCCCGCAGAGAGAGATAGAAAGAGAGAGCGTTGCAGCGGAAGCACATGGTATTTTACAACCCTACCTGGCCGCTGCCGGGCGCCCAATAGCATGAGAAGCAGAAAGAAAAACAAAAAAAAAACGTAGCAACGACAAAAGCGAAAAAAAAAAAAAAATCACAAAAAACTGTAATATATATAAGTGGCTCCTGTTCCAACGTGGAGAAGTGCTAGGCAAAAAAAAACAAACAAGGAAGTAAATCTAAAAAAAAAACACAGATAACTGTTCCTATTTGATCCCATTCGGATGAGGTTGATACGGCTTGCGCTCGTCATAATTCTCGTTACAACACTGGCAGCACATCCAGACAAGCACAACGAGTAGGAGAACGACCATCGCAATTATGCTGAGAATCCCCACCACAATTACGCGCGCGCTTAAGATGCTGTACTCACTCACATTTTTGCCGAGGCTGGGAATTCGCACACTGATGAGATTTGCCGCTTCCGACGGCGTATGGAGCGCCAATGTTTTGCTGAACGTACACTGAGCGATCATGGAATTGACTTCATCTGGTGGCCAAATGTGCAGAAGCCGCGAGCTGGAACTATTGCTCCGCGGCGCCTGCGCCACGGTGAGGCGAGCCTCGAAGTGCCCACCAACGGACAGGGAGCTCACATTGATGATGGTCAAAAAGGCGTACTTGCGCAGCAGCTGGGTCCCAACGTCTGCAACAATCGCTCGTTTGAGCTCTACCTCCTTTTCGCTCACCACAGGGCCCCACGCGGCGCCACCAAACGTAACAATATGGTGCGACTTTGAAAAGCTCTGTACGGTGACGGCGGACAGGACGGACAGCAGGCACAGCAACGGCACCGAAGCAAGAAGGAAGCTGCTACTCCTCTTCATTCTTCGCCCCAGATTCTCAGCAAGGCACAGTTAGGTTGTGTGGGTCTTTTACTCTTCCCGCAAATTTCTTGATGCGGTCAAACCATTAAAAAAAAAAAAACCAAAAAAAAGGGCAAATGAGGAGAAAAGTTTCACGGGCGTGTGGGGTTGAAGGAGGCATAGCGAAGGGTGCAGCACATTTTAGCCACCAGCACTGCGGCCGCGATCGGTGCGGGAACCACAAACCCGCCCTCCTTTTAGGAACGCAGCGTCGAAAAGCAAAAAAAAAAACAATGACAAACCTTCAGCCCCCAATGCATGCACGTAATCTGTACGTAACTATGTACATTCCTTTCCCTTATTTGGATATTTCACCACACGCGACTGCCGCAGCACGAAGAACCGCTGCGTGAAACGCAGCCGGCGTGCTCCACCACCACCACCACCAACAGCAGCCCACAAAAAATCAGAACCCCCCCCCACAAAAAAACAAAAACAAAAACAACAACAACAACAAAAAAAAAAACAAGGAAAAAAAGCAAAAAAAAAAAAAAACGCGGCGCACAAGCGTGGCCGAATTTTCCACAGGAGTGAGGGAAATTATAGACGCTGAGTTCCAGAACTTTTTAAATTTTTTCTCTTCTTCTTTTTCACTTCAGGTTTGCGCTTCATCGAGTGTCTTTGCCCACGCTTATGCCTGCCGACGTGGACGCGCGGCGACGCCCAAACGTGACACGGCAAGACCCACGGAAGCACGTACAGACACTTATCGCAAGAGAAGGAAAATATAAGAAAATAAACAAACAAAAAAAAACGTAATGGCCGGCACTTTCCGCTCCAAGCACAAAGGAAAGGAAAGCTACGGGCCAAACACAAACACGAGCAGAGCGGTAGTGTGGGGCGGGAAAAATCAATAAGAAGAGAAGTAAAAAAAAACACGTGCAAAAAACAAAGAGCAAAACCCCGACTCTACTTCTAACAGGGGGGGGGGGGGGGGGGGAAAACATACACACGCATGTTTTTATTATTTTTACTATATATATATATAACTTTTTCATTTTCTCAATCATTTATCGCATCCGGAGTAGGATGCGGAAACGGTTGATGACTTCTTCCGGCATGCTTGCCGCTACAACACTGGCAACACATCCAGACAAGCACAGGAATAAGCACCAGCAGCATGCAAGAACCAGTGACAAGGGCTATTAAGGTCATTTCTCGGTGAAAAACCTGTTCACCGTTCTTCATTACCCCTTTCTCGTTGAGCTGCACACTGATGAGATTTGCCGCTTCCGACGGCGTATGGAGCGCCAATGTTTTGTTGAACACACCCTGAGCGATCATGGAATTGACTTCATCTGGCGGCCAAATGTGCAGAAGCCGCGAACTGGAACTATTGCTCCGCAGCGCCTGCATCACGGTGAGGCGAGCCTCGAAGTGCCCACCAACGGACAGGGAGCTCACATTGATGATGGTCAAAAAGGCGTACTTGCGCAGCAGCTGGGTCCCAACGTCTGCAACAATCGCTCGTTTGAGCTCTACCTCCTTTTCGCTCACCACAGGGCCCCACGCGGCGCCACCAAACGTAACAATATGGTGCGACTTTGAAAAGCTCTGTACGGTGACGGCGGACAGGACGGACAGCAGGCACAGCAATGGCACCGAAGCAAGAAGGAAGCTGCTACTCCTCTTCATTCTTCGCCCCAGACGCAAGAAAAACGACGACGCACGGACGTCAAGGAAAGTAGTCCTTTACCTGAAACAGACGCGGGAGAGAAGGGGCTCTTCCCTTACCCGCGGGAAGAAAAAGAAAAATCATAGATGCAAAGGAATGAATGGATAAAGGAAGGAAGCAGAGCCCAATAAAGTGCATGCAAAGGCAGTTTGTGGATTTCACCCCATTCGTACTCTTCCTTACCTTTCTTCTTCTTCCTTTTTCCCAGTGCTTACTTCTGCCTCCCGCTTCTACCCACTTGAGATGTGTCGGGGTGGGGTGGGGGAGGGGATTCGTTACGCACTCGCTGTGGTTGACTTCGCCTTTGGAAGGCCGACCACCTCACGCAGGACCGCCACGAGCTCGCCTTTCTTCTCGCGCAGCTGCAGCTCTGCTGCCGCACGGTCACAGCCAAGCTCACGCATCAGCAGGACAACGTCCGCCTCCTCCAGCGGAATCTGTGCCAGATCGTCCATCCTCTTCTTCTCCGCCAGCTTCTTCTGGAGAACGTCGGCGTGGAGCCTCTGCATCCGCTCCTGCACCCCCTTCTCATCGTACTTGCGCACCTCCACCGCCTTTTCTGCACGGTTGGAGATGTTCTTCATGGACTCCTGCACATCGGACTGCCGCGCCATTGCCCCCGCTGTGTATGTATCAAAATATTTGCTTTACGGCTCTTCGAAGTCTCTCTCTCTCTCTCTCCGCTCGCCCACACAAAGGAAACACACACAGAGGTTTCTTTGAACTACCTTCCTCTTCTTTTCACATGCAACCCACACTCAGAGAGAAAAAGATAGCGAACAGTGAAAGGGAAAAGGATGCGGGTGGAAGCTGCAGGTTCATTAGGAAGGGGGCAGCGGCGTGAGCACACCATTGCAGTCACACTCGGAGGAAGTGAAAGAGAGACATACACATGCAGCCAACACGTACAAATGCAGAGGAGGGATACATGTCTGTGCCGCACCCAATACGACCAAGACGTTGTGACGCCACACCACGAGCGGGCACGGCACAACAAGCCAAACAAAGGGAGAAATACAGAGGTGTTGAGAAGAACAAATAAAGGCAGCAGACACAAACAAACAAGCAAGCAAAAATGCAGAACCGACAAAGACGCTAACAAAAGATGGGATCCCTTTTTTTTTTTTTCTTGCTCTGCACCCTCACTCTCCTCCCCACTCCCCCTCCCCGCCCCGCCCCGCGGTTGCCTCTTGCTGTTTTCTCGCATGAAGGAGAGAAATAAATGAAACGAAGACATAAACCGAAATAACTTTTCGCCTTTTTTTTTTCTGTCTGCCTGCCTGCCCCCCATGGGCCAAGTACCGCTCGCCACGAAAAACAAACAAGCAATAAAAAAGCTTTCCCTGCTGCAGTCTCACTCCCACAGTTCGATTAGACAGACACACTGGCAATGACGCCATAACGTCCCTGCAAGGCCTCAGCGGTGGTGGCCAACGCCTCTAGTGACATTTCAAGCTTAGAGAGACGCAGTTCCAGCTCCGCCAGGCTGGGCACCACGGGTGTGGCATGTGGCGGCTTTAGTGGTTGCATCATGGGAGATGGCATTGATGCCAACGTGAGACGCGTCGGGCCCCTTCTGTGGCCTGGCAGTTCCTCATTCCCTGCCTGCAGGTACTCCCTCCCACGCGGGGTCGGCGTGCGCGAGTCGCGCTTCAGACACATCTCTTGAAACAACGGGAACGGTCGTCGAGATCGCGGGGTGGTTTCAGGAGTGGTGGTGCGTGATGTAAACGGTGTGGTGAGGCTGGACTCAAACGATATGTCCGGTGCAAGACTCCCTTCGACTGTGCTGATGGAGTGAAGAAAGGCAGTCTCCTGCCGCATCAGTTCCCGCCGCATCTCGCGGTACGTGATGGCCTGCTGAGAGAGAAGAAAGGCTGAAATTTGGCGTGAGATAAAGTTGCGTCTGTCCCGCCGCGCCCTGTAGAGGTTCCAGGCGCGCTGGATGAGACGCGCCGCCTGCGCCGGGACCTGGCCGCAGAGTTCGTTGCTGCGGAAGAGGGCGTGTAGGTTGCGCTCCGCCTGGGTCAGCGCGAGGGCCTGGTTCATGACACCCACTGCCCAGCAGAGGATGGTGACGCCCAGCAGGGTAACGCACACCGCGAGAACGCGGCCGGGCAGCGTCACCGGCGACGACTCGCTGTACCCTGCCAGCGAGGCGGTGCTGACGCAGAAGTAGAGTGCCTCCCCGAAGCTCACCGTCTCCGCCTTCGCGTAGGCGTAGGCGAAAACGCAGACCCCAACGGCGACGACGGAGAGCGTCACGCGGAGATGCTCCAGCAGAGAGGCAGTGCGAACGAAGAAACGATGATTTAGCCGAATGCGAGCAAGACTCGCAATGGCGTGGGCAAATGCAGAGTTGTGGGCGACGTTCGTTCCATACAACAGAAACACGTAGAAGCGAAGGGGCAGAAAACCATCCAGTCCTACAAGCCACTCAGTGCTCACGTCGTCCGGAAGAGGCGGGCACTGAAGGACCCACACGAGCATCTCCAAGAGCATCAAACAAAGCGAAGGCGAGTGAAACACACTGACCACACCTTTCTTCCCATGCGCCCGATTTGTCAGACCGTGAAACTTCGCCTTCCCGCGGTAGATGGAAGCAATGGCTACCTCCGCCGCGAGTGAAAAAACAAGCATAATGAAGTGCGTGATAACTCGGCCCTTGTCGAAGAGGGCAAGGCCGTAGCAGAAAACTGCTAAAAAACACATTACTCCACGCAACCAGCGGCGACTGGCGTGCAGGCGCTCCATGTTTGCTAAATTACCAACGCTGGCCGTCACGGGTGGAATAGCGGTAAGTGTCTGTGGCCTGATCAGCCGCTCGGCGCGCCCACGAAGCTCCATGGGTGATCGTTGTCCCCTATAAAAAAACAGAAAAA